GAAAGAAACAGTCCCGGTTTCAAACATTCCCGGTTTCACCTCTTCTTAAATGTGTTTGTGTGTGTGTGGAGGGGGGCATATAATTGAAACAAGTACTAAAATATATTTCTAAATTGAAAATTGGAATAATGGACGGTATTATCTTTGGGCGGGCAGCGACATATCAAGTGGCTCAGCCCCTTGGCCTCCCTGCAGGTAAAAGTTACACAGTGCCTCAGTCGATTACCATTTGGTTATGGTCATCGGTCAAGCCAAGTTCAACATGAGCAGCTCACCAACGTTGTTTATTGATTCTCCGCCATCTTTCTTCCTCTTTTCGTGACCCGGGACCTTTTCTAGAACCTCCTTGAAAATAGATACACATCGCTACGTAGATGTTGCTCATCGCTTGGAGCATTTATTTGCGACGTCACCTTTATCAAAGATAAATCTTCATTTACCTCAATTTTTCATTTACGAAAAATCGCTCCTAATAACACTATAAAAGTCGCTGTTTCTTCATAAGTACTTCATTCAGGATTGCCCTACACCTTTCAATAGATCATGTATTCTGACAAATTTCCAGGAAATGCAATAACGTCCTAGATTTAAATGGCTGAGAACGGTTAAGCAAAAGCACTCAAGTGAAATTGCTTGTTAAGTAGGTTTCTGTAGAGAAAATTACAAATTCTGCGCGATTCTTCAGAACCTCTTCTGTGTTTAATATTTGTTGTAGTAGTGGCTTATTATTAAAAATTAAATCAAGTACACGTAGCTATGTCATACAGTTTGCGTGTAAAATATTTTCAGTTTAATTTATCAAACATTTTCTCGGTAAAATCAAAAATAAGTTACAAATAATTCTGTAATAAATAATGGAAACTGAAGTACAGTATGTCTGCTGTTTATTATAGCAAAAATTAACTCTCACCCGGTCAGACTGACTTTATCTGCTTATTTTGCATAAACCAACCATCCACTGCTTTCTTGTTTCTGGCTTCACGGTGAACCATTTTTCTTTCTTATCTTGCATTTAACTCCCCTATTCAGTGTTCTTGTTTGCTTATCAGTTTTCAATCTCTTTCTAGCGATCTAGGTGAATCTAGGTCATCATCAGGGTTTTCGTTTTTATTTTTGTTCGTCTATCAGCTTTTAAACAGATTTTGTACTGATTCACTTTGTTAATTAAACTTAAAACAAAGCTGTTAATTGTAATCACATTTATTTGTTTTTGTTCCGTGGTTTGAATGAACCTTTTATTGATAGCGCACTAGGGTGACCCATTTTTGGTTTTTATAAGGTAATTGTGGCTGATTTTAACGATCTCACTTTAAATTTGTTTTATTCGTTGTAAGATTCAGTATGACAAAGTTGTACTGTTGCACGTAATTCTAAGTAGTTTTATTTTGTTGATTGGTGAACAACACCGCTTCTCCTCACTTCTAAACTCATACGCAGAGGAATAGGTAAGTAGGCTATCAGTTTTTGTACATCACGAGCCGTAGCGCAAACTAACATTTGTTGGTGTGTTATCCATGGAACACGCGACAGTAAATAGTCCCACATTTGTTATTTCGTTTTATGGTTATTATTACATAATTATGTTCCTTAAAACAGGAGACGTGACTAAGCAATACCTCCCATACAGTAAAGATGTGTTACAGGTGGAGTTTCCCTTTAAAAGAATCACTATAACGAGTAAATAAGTATTTGTAGACTCATAATATTGAATTAATATAAACATTTAAAAATATTTTCACTCATTTCTCAAGTTACAACAATTATTATTGATTAGTTTTCTAAACCGATACTAACCACTGTGGAACCCAATCTATGTTGAATTACTTCAAAATCATGGGCAAATTCAGTTTAATAAATATTACACCGATTCTTTGTTCCAAAACGAAATCAGCATTGGTTATACTTTAAATTAATTTAAAAGCATTTGTTCATAAAATTTTAAAGGGACAACAAGGAGCTTATTACCCCATCAAAGATGTCCCTTCCATCTCCCAACTATAACCACCCCTTATTAATCATGTATTCAACCAATCTTTTCGTGAACTAAAATTTGAATTTATGCCCCCTTGTCTGATTGTTTTCACAGCTAAACACACAAAAGTTTGATGGACCTATATTATCAATACCCTTAATAATCTTAAACACTTCAATCAAATCCCCTCTGACCCTTCTCCTCTTTAGAGAAAACAAGTTTAGAGATTTTAGTCTCTCCTCATAGGACAATCCCACTATCCTAGTGGCTCTTCTCTGAAGCTTCTTCGACAATTCAATGCCCTTCTTGAGGAAGAGATCCCAAAACTGTACACACCACTCTAAACTAGGCCTTTCAAGTGATCTATACAGTGAAACAATAATATCCCTTGTGTTGTATTCAATATTTCTATAGATGCCACCCAAAATCCTATTAGCCCTATTGCTAGCTACAATACACTGCTTAGATGACTCAAGTGATTTTTCAATCACAACACCAAGATAATTTTCTTCAACCACAGTATTTAATGTATTCCTATTTATATTGTAACAATAATTTGAATTGTGAAAACCCACATGCACCACCTTACAGCATCTGTCATCTATTCACCCCGATGCATCAAATGATCTGTATCTTTGATACAATTAGCCACCCCAAAAATCATAATGTCATCTGCAAACTTCAAAATTGTGTTAGTCAATCGAGAGTCAATGTCATTAAAATATATCATAAACAGCAGAGGACCAGCACAGAGCCCTGAGGCACACTTCTTGTAACTGTGATCCAGTGAGATCTAATTCCATTTATTACTACTCTCTGCTTTCTACTCTCCAGCCAATTTTCTATCCAATTTAATAATATTTCCCCCACACCCATAGATTTAATTTTTGTTACAAGTCTTTTATGAGGCACCTTATCAAATGCTTTCTGAAAATCAAGGTAAACCAAATCCACAGTATTTCCTTCATCAACTCTTGCAGTGACATCCTCAAAGAATGTCAGAAGATTTGTTAAACAAGACTTTCCCTTAATGAAACCATGCTGGCTCTTTGACGCGATATCAAACAGCTTTAAGTGACTCTGCAATGTGTCTTTAATCACATTCTCCAAAACCTTTCCAACTGCTGATGTAAGACTAACTGGCCTATAATTGCCTGGACAATGTTTATCACCTCCTTTAAATATTGGACTAACATTAGCCAACTTACAGTCTTCTAATACTCTTCCACTATTCATTGACCTATAAAAAATATTAGCTAGTGGTTCACAAATAAAATCTTCAAGTTCCTTTAAAACTCATCCAGGGGATTTATCAATCTTGAGGTTTTCCAACTTTATTCTTACAATTTCAGAACTTAAAATATCTTTTACATCAATATTTTTCCCATACATTAAGTGCTCTGGTTGAGAACTGAAGAGAACATATAATTTAATAAGTTTACCATCTCATAATCATGCGAGATCAATCCCCACTATCATTTTTAAGTGACCCAATCTCCATCCTACCATTTTGCTTACCCATCATATACCTAAAGAATCCTTTATTGTTTGATTTAACTCTTTCATTCAACCCTTTTTCATATACAGTTTTTTTCTTTTTTAACCAGCTCTCTTGATTTTCTATAGTCCTCCAAGTCCTTATTATTTCCAATAAGTTTAAATTTCTTGAATTTATTATGTTTATCCCTAATATGATCTCTTAAACCTTTACTAAACCTCACTGGCTTATTCCGCTCTGTTGTTCTTTTTTTTTATGTAAGAAATATGTATCTTCAACTGTATTTAAATTATCTTTGCAAAACATATTTACATTAATTTTCATACTGTACTTGCACGTGTAACATTTAAACTTAAATAAATTATTTTCATCAACAAATGGAATATTTTGTCTCGAGAATGTGCTAGTATGGGAGCCGAAAGCTAACCTGCTAGTTATAAACAATGGGATGCATTTGGCTGTTGAGAATAAAATAAAGATATTTGTAAAAAAAGCTACCTCTAAGAATTTAAGTATAGTTTAAATGTCTAAAAAAAATCCTGTAAGCTTTTAGTAATATATTGTAAGCCTCACTCGTTGTTTAATTTAATATGTACTTTTAGTTGTACTGAAAGAAGCTGTAGAAGAATAGGCTAAATTTGATCAATTTGTGGTACACACTTTCAGTTAAATTTCTTGTACAAAGATCAGTTGGATGAAATTAAACATAATAAAATTACCAATTTAAATAGTACAATAATTTAAGTATGCTCAAGTGTGTATAATATATTTGCATAAGATATTTCTGCATATGAACTTTAAATCAAGAATTGAACATTGGGCACCAAGTTGCTATGGTATCCTGAGTGTCTCATAAGAATAGTTATATTAACAGTTATTGTAATATATATATATTACTTTATTAGTGTGCTGTTTTTGTGATATTTTTTGTTTTTGTAACATTTGTAGATTATAACAAAATTTGCTTTATTAGATGACCATCACCCTAGAGTTAGATTTAGTGGTTATTATAACCTTTGTCTAGATCCACTGTTACATTGATCAAAGGTGTTGACCATTCACAAAATAAGTTCAGAATTAAGTTATTTGAAATTGAGTCAAGGATTCAATATCTGGTTTTCTGGACTAATATTCCACATACAGGTATATGAAATTGTACAAAGTATAATTTTTCACAATCTTTTTACTTCTTGATTTTATCTAACTTTTAGCTACTGTCAGATTGAGTTTCAGAACATAGACTGAAGTTATTTTCCATTTGCATGCAGGTGCCAGGTTTTTATATCATATCAGTTTTAAGTAAAGCATTTAATTTGCAAATTCTGTGTAGTACATGGATATGTTTTCAGTGAACAGATGTCTTGTCCAAAGGGTGATAAATAGTATAACTTTTACATTTTAATTGAGTCCTTAAGAAAATAAAGTTAGTAGTTGACTTTTGTCTTTCAAAATTAATTTTACAAATTTTTAGCTACCTACTTAAAATATGCTGGGTTGATGAATTTGACACCTTGTTTATTGATTTGACAGCAAACAGATTTAGAATTAGAATTTTCATCAGGGAGCCAAGGAAAAGCAGCCACCCAAACAACAACAAATGGGATAGATACTTCCAAGTCCAACCAGCCAAAACGCCTTCATATCAGTAACATCCCATTCCGATTCAGGGATTCTGATCTCAGGCAATTGTTTGGAGTAAGTTTATTCTAGATAGTATAGCATTGGTACATAGCGAGTAAGTCATTTTAGGATGTGACTTATGAATTGTTCTTTGTGCTTATTTTTTTTATAAGTGATAGAACAAGTTTAATTACTTTTGAGTTGGTTAAATAGGTAATCTTTTTATCTTGATTTTAAGTGTTTATATAATTGGAATTCATTTACAATATATTTTTTGAATGCTGATAAAATTTTACACAAGTTTGAGGTATTAAAATCTTTCAAAAATAATATTTTTTGTGCTTTTTTTTTTCAGCAATTTGGTCCAATACTAGACGTTGAAATTATTTTTAATGAACGAGGCTCAAAGGTAAGCATCGTAGTTTTTTATAATAAGTTAAGCTAATCATTGCATTCAGAGTGAATCAGAAATATTACATGAACATCATCAGACTTTTCCGTACAGTTTTTTGTTTTGTAAATAGATTATAAAGTTGAAATAATGTATGATTCTATTTTGTTTTGAAAGGAAAAATTGCAAAACAAATTTAATAGACATAGAAAATAAAATTTAGAGAAAGTTTTTCATTTTTTCCATTCATCAAATTTACATTTTAGATTAACAAGAACAGTGTTATTTTTGTAAATTAATAATAGCTTGTAGAAAAAAGAAATATATAAACATATTAAAGGTTGCCTTTAATTTTGAATACTGTTTTAAAGGCACAAAAATTAATTATTGATGCACTAAACATCTTCAATTTTTCATTCTTTCGAGAATACTATTACACCTGAAAGGAAAGTGGAAAGATTGCCAAGTTTGATAAAATGTGACTGGGAAGGTATGGTACTTTGTATAATGCACTGCAGAGCACTGAGTACAAAGAATTTATCAGTTGAAAACTACAAAATTTCTCTTTAGAAGTTTTGTAATTAAAACATCTTTAAACCTACAAAGAGACATAATAAAAGCATTATGCAGGGTTTTGATATTAAGATTGTCTTTTATATATAAATAATTTATTATTTTTTTTCTGATCTTAGTCAATTTGAAGAAAAGATACAGCTTTCAAACTAGCGTTTCTGGGTTTTTAATACTATTAAAGAATTCCAGGTATAATTGATACGAGTTCCCAGATTTTTATAAATGAAAATTCATAAATCAAATCCTAGGCCTATAGGCCCTTGCTAGGTTTATACTGTCATTCTTAAGTTGCGTCAATTTTTATTACTAAGAAAATTCTGTTTTCCTATTTATCTTGATTATAACTTCTTACCTGAAATCAATAAAAAACATTTGCTTTTTAAGCTGTTCTCTAGCCTAATTTTTAATGTTAAGGTAATGTCATGTATTGCTGTGCTTGTATGCAGAAGTCAGTACTAGAAATTACTGGAGAAGGTCCTGGGCATGGAATCTCATAGTTATGGTTATGAGATACCAATATGAATTAGGATTGTGAATTTTATAAAAAAAAAACTCTTTTAACATCATAAACTACTTAACTGGTTAGATAGCTTACAAGCGTGCTGTAGTTTTCATAATAGTTGATGAAAGTAATTTGTTAAACAGAGTTACAAATATTGGGATTTTTATATTTTTTTATGCGGTATATGGTTATAATGGAACCTGCATGTTTCAGTTGTTCACTTGTAATTTTTTATGTAATTCATTACCTAATTTTTGTCCAATTTAAAAAATGTTATTTAAACTGTGGACATTGTAAGGTATAAAAGGTGTGAAATTGTTTTTGAAAGATATATATATATATATACACTGAGTGGTCACAAGTAAATAGACACCTAA